AAGAACGTATTATCCCAGTCGAGATATGAAAAAAAAAATCAAACAATCACAATTGAGGAACATTCTATAAAATACCTAACCAGCACTCTTTGAAACTGTCAACATCAGCAGAAAGAAAAGACTGAGAAGCTGTCATAGCAAAGAGGAACCTAGGAAGATATGAGGACTAAATGTAATATGGTGTTCTAGATGAATCCTGGAACAAAAGACGGACATTGGGTAAAAACTAAGGAAACCTGAGTGAAGTGATGACTTAGTCATAATTTATCAATGTTAGTTCATTAGTTGTGACAAATATACCATAATAATATCTTAATAGGGGAAACTGGGTGTGGGGTGTTTAGAAATTCCCTGTAGTATCTTCTTAATTTTTCTGTAAATCTAAAACTATTATAAAATTTAAAATTTATTAAATGTTTATTGATATTGACACATGACTCCATAAAAATGTGTCAGTGTACCCTTCAGCCAACTATGTATGAGGGTTTCTCTGCACCATTGCCAAAGTTGAGCATTATCAATCCTCTTAGTATTTGTACATTGGCCAGAGGTGACAAATGATATCTCATTGTTTAAATTTGCAATTTGAAATTACAAGTAAGATTTAGCATCTTTTTTTCTTATTGACTGGTCATTTACATTTCTTTCTCTATAGCTAGATGTGGCCATCCTCTGCTAATTTTTCAATCTGGTCATTGATTTTTTTTCTGTGTAGAACTTTTGGCATGGTTAAAAATATTTCCTTTTCTTTCATAGATTTGAAAATATTTTTAGACTATTTTCTTTTGACATTCTCTAAATTATTTTAAGTGCAGAAAATGTATTAAAATTAATGGCAAAAACTGCAATTACTTTTGCACCAACCCAATAACTGCTTTATATAATGAAATCTCTATTCTTTTTTACAATTTCAGGGTTTAATCACGCTTCTATTTCATTCCCAAATTAAGTCATCAGCGGCTTAATTACTGTGTATGGATCCCTTTCGGCTAGTGCCTAATAATTTCAGGTGTTCTTGAAAGGGTGTTGCAAATGGGTTCACAACTCCACTGTCAGCTCAAATTCTTTCTGGGCTTTGGTCTTCTTCTTCTCCTGCCATGCCACTTGTTTTCTGAAAGGTATGTGGAGGCAGGTGCTTATGTCTATCCTAGAGACACCAACACTCATGAGTAAGAAGAATGTTGTCCTTATATGATCTCAGATGCCAGTCTTCAGGATGTCAGAATAGGTTTGGTTGGTTCAGTGTAGTGGCACAAATGTCTCTCTTTTTAAAGTACCTTTTTCAAGTAGCCTTAGATTGTAATGCAGAGTATACAACTATACTCTGCAGTATAGTTTCTATATACGCCTGGCAAATCACCAGTTATTCTTAATATCCTTTGCTGGTTTCTCCTAACTTCCTGTTGATTCACTACTATATTTATCCATCAGGAATCAGGTACTAATTGCTTCTTTGTCTAACAGCATTCACTTCTTTAGTGATCTCAGTCAATTTTATGGCAATAAGCTAATGCTTCCCTGCTATGTAGTCTCAGGTATAATTGTATCCTTGGACCTATCTCCTTCTTTAGATTTATATATCCAAGGGCCAGTTAAGTATTTCCACTTGTTTATCTAATAGACAGCTCATGATTAACATGTCCAAAATTGACTCCTTATCTTCACTCCCAAGTCTTCAGCCCTCAGTAACTGATAAATCCATATTTCATCGGCTCAGTCCAAAAATGTGGGAGTCATTCCCTGTAGTTCACATCACACCCCATATCCAATCTGTCTGGAAATTCATCTAGCTCTAACTTCAATATATATTCATAACCCAAACAGTTTTCAATACTCCTACTGATATGAACCTGGTCCAAGACACCATCTTGCCCTGTCCTCTTTCTTCTGGAATTCTGCTCAAGCCCCTGACCGACCTTCCTACATATGCCCTTTGGTCCTACAATCTTATCTCTATATATTCCCCAGATAGATTCTTTTAAAACATGTCAGAATATTTCACTTCTCTGCTCAAAATTCTCACATGGCTTCCCATATTACTCATTAAAACCTCACACCTTCACAATTGGCCTTTAAGCCCTACATTACTTCATCCCTCTGCTATTTTGCTGACTTCATCTCCAATACACCCTACTCACTCACTGAGCTCCAACCATGAGCGTTTTTTTTTTTTTTTGCCATTTTTTGAACACACTAAGAAGGTATCCTTAGAGCCTTGGCAGTCACTGTTTCCTCGACTGGAATGCTCTTTTCCCAGATAAGCACATGTCTCACTCTCTTTTCATTTGGTTCTCTGCTTGTATGACATTTCCTCATAGAGGTCTCCTCCAGACACCCTGTCTAAAACAGTAACTCCCCCAGCACTCTCTGCTTTATTTTTCACCACTGCCTTGTTGCCAACTGACATGCTATACTTGTTTATTGTCTAGCTGCTTCTACCGGCATACAAACTCTATGTAGAAGATAGATTTTATTATATTCATGGCTCTATCTCTAGCGAAAAGAACAATGTCTATTTCTCTCTTTTTTTTTTTTTAATGGAGTTTTACTCTTGTCACAGGCTGGAATGCAGTGGCACGATCTCGACTCATTGCAACCATCGCCTCCCAAGTTCAAGTGATTCTCCCGCCTCAGCCTTCCGAATAGCTGGGATTACAGGTGCCTGCCAGCATGTCCAGCTAATTTTTGTATTTTTAGTAGAGTCGGGGTTTCACCATGTTTGCCAGGCTGGTCTTGAACTCCTGACCTCAGGTGATCCACCTGCCCCGGCCTCCCAAAGTCCTGGGATTACAGGCATGAACCACTACACCTGACCAAATAGAACAATATCTAAAACTTAGTATATACTCAATAAATATATGTTGCATAGGTGAATACATTTCATTATGTGTCTGACAACCAAACCTGCGATAGACACAAAACTACAGATCTGATCCCATCTCTTACCTGTTTTCCCTCCTAAGCCATGTCCTTATTTGCATCCCCTGGTGCCTCACTGATGAGCACAGTGTAGGCATTTATTGCTTTCTTGGTAAACAGAATTAAATTCCAAGGGCCTTGGCAAACTGGAGGGGGGCCCAAAAGACCAGAATGGAGACTCTGGGAGCAAGATGAAAATATGCCATTGGGGAGAATAACAGAAGCACAAAGGAGAGATGGCTGGAGAGTGGCACTGAGCCAGATCTAGTGTCAGGGTGTGCTATGAACTGAATGTTTGTGTATCCAAAATTTGTATATTGAAACTAGTCACCAGCGTGATGATTTTAGGAGGTGGGCACTTTGGCAGGGGAATAGGTAATGAGGGAAATGTCTCCATGAATGACGTTAGTATCCTTATAAGATACTTTACCCTGGCTGGGCGTGGTGGTGCACACCTGTAATTCCAGCACTTTGGGAGGCCAAGGCGGGCAGATCATGAGGACAAGAGATCAAGACCATCCTGGCCAACATGGTGAAACCCCATCTCTGCTAAAAATACAAAAATTAGCTGGGCATGGTGGCACGCGCCTGTAGTCCCAGCTACTCAGGAGGCTGAGGCAGGAGAATCACCTGAACCCGGGAGGCGGAGGTTGCAGTGAGCCAAGATCACACCACTGCACTCCAGCCTGGTGACAGAGCGAGACTTTATCTCAGAAAAAAAAAATAAAAAAGATACTTTACCCCTTCCACATGTGAGGACACAGTGAGAAGGTGCCACCTGTGAACCAAAAAGCAGGCCCTCACCAGACGCAAATCTCCACGCACCTTGATCTTGGACTTCTCAGCCTCCAGGACTATGAAAAATAAACGTATGTTGTTTACTACCCAGTTTATAGTATTTTGTTATAGCACCACTAATAAACTCAGACGAGGCTGATGCAGAGATAACCATAATTCAACCTTTTTTTTTTTTTTCTGTGCTGTTTTACTTCCACAGGCTCTCAGTTTCATTTTATTCATTTCCAATTTCCATCTAAAAGTAGCAGGATCACATGGTGGAAAAAGTCCTGGACCTGGAAATCAGAAAGACCTGGGTTAGAATGCTGGCTCTGATACTCAGAGCTGAACGAACTTGGATAAGTCATTTAATCTTTGGGAATGTCTCCCTCTCTGGGTTTGCAAGAGTATTAAGAAATAAATGTCATTGCATTCCAGCCTGGACAACGAAAGCGAAACTCTGTATCAAAAAAGAAATAAAGAAATAAATGTGGAAAAAACCCTTAATATCCCTTAATATCCCAACACAACACACAACAGTTATTCAGTAAATGTAAATTAAACCTATTCTGTCGGCAGGAACTGACAGACTCTTGATATATGATGTTACATCCTTCTTGCTTTATTTATTTGTAGCATCAGCTGCTGGAATTAGTCTCATCCGTTATGCCTTTCTTTTAGACTCTTTTTCCACTCCTTCCTTCCTTGAATGTCCTCTTGTCTGATTCTATGGACCCATGGAATCCTTGTGTCAGTCTGCTTTTTCTCTTTATCTGCAAGATGCTAAACTTCCACTTTTAGAACACACAGGAGCGAAAGTGAAGATGGTTAGGTTTTTTGTTTGTTTTTTTGACAAAGTCTCAGTCTGTCACCCGGACTGGAGTGCAGTGGCACGATCTCGGCTCGCTGCAACCTCTGCCTCCCGGATTCAAGCAATTCTCATGCCTCAGTCACCCAAGTAGCTAGGATTACAGGCGCCCACCTCCACACCTGGCTCATTTTTGTATTTTGGTAGATGGGGTTTTAGTACCTTGTTGGCCAGGCTGGTCTCAAGCTCCTGACCTCAGGTGATCCACCTGTCTCGGCCTCCCAAAGTGCTGGGATTACAGGCATGAGCCACTGTGCCCGGCCGGTTGGATATTTTTATCCTGAGAATTGGAGGCACCAATTTGTATATATTTATATACTCTCTCTCTTTCACACACACACACACACACACACACACACACTTAGGGCCCATGGAGATAGAAAGGAGTGAAAATGGAAAGGAGGTAGTTTTAAAATCCCTGCCCCAGCATTGTTCACTACAAAAGCAGAGCTGCTTCACAGAGCCCCTGGGAAGCCCTGTAAATGTATCTCTCATTGTATGATGTCAGCAGGTTCCCCATCAGGAAGCAGTAAGGGCAGGCGAGGGTTTCAAATTGCCTGGGCTCTCGGGGCACTTGGTGCTTGGCATGGCCTTGATGAGAATGCACATGGCCACCCTCAGGAGCTCTGGCTTCTGACCCACAGGAGGGAAAAAGAGGCTCCAGAATTAGGACTGAACTTAAATTCGGAGAGAAGGGACTGTCTCCAAGACCAGTGAGCATTATCCCAGAGTGACGCACTTGACAACATTAGAGAAAGTGAAAGCTCCCTCCAGATGCCTCCGTCTGGGCGGCTACTGCAATTTTCTTCAGCTTCCCTCTGAGTTCCAATCCATTGCAGAGCAATTTTCCTCTGAATTAAAACAAAGCCTTTCTTCCAGGATGGTGTCCTCAAAAAGTACACACCTTTTAGAGCCAAAAAAAAAAATCTATGTCTGAATTCCACCTCTGCCAGTTAATGCTGGTTAGTTTTAGGAAAATTAGCTAACATCTCTGAGACTGTTTCCTATCTATAAATTGAGAATAATACCCGTTTCACAAAATCTAAAATATTACATGAGAAAGCACATGTGTAACATGAGCCTGCATTTGTCAGTCATTTCTCATCAATATAGGATACACCCACGTCACAAAACCTCTTTATCTTTTCCAATTTTTGGAAGAATTTCTGAAGCCTAGGATTCTCTTGTTGACCAAAGGAAATGTGATTTGTGTTTCTGTCACTGACACTACACTGTACCTCCCCTATTATTTCTCCAATGTTGATCTCTCTGACTTACCTTTCCTCTTCAGAAGACAACATGGCCATCCTCGGATCACTCTACTCTGCTGGTCCTCCAAGAACTGGACCCTGAATACTCTCATATCGCTCACCCCTGCTTGCTAACCAAGGAGACCCAAATATTATATACTTGTAAATAAAGACAATAGAGTACGTGAGTAATGCATAATTCTTTGCTTTAACCCTTGCCCTCCTAACCTCCATTCTCTATATAGCCATAAAAATACTCCTTTTTTTGTGGCTGCATAGGAGTTCATAGCATATATTTACCACATTTTTTTTATCCATGACACCATGGATGGGTGCCTAGGTCGATTCCATGTCTTTGCTATTGTGAATGGTGCCGCAATATACATACAAGTGCATCTTTCTTTTTGGTAGAACGATTTATTTTCCTTATGGTATATACCCAGCAATGGAATTGCTGAGTCAAGGGGTAGTTCTGTTTTGAGTTATTTGGGAAATTTCCAAACTCCCCTCTGCAGGGGTTGAACTAATTTATATTCCCACCAATGGGGTATAAGAGTTCCCTTTTATTTGTGGAGGTCATTGCCCTAAGCAAATTAAGTCAGGAACAGAAAACCAAATACCACACGTTCTCACTTATAGGTGGGAGCTAAACATTGGGTACCCAGGGACACAAAGACAGGAGCAAAAGACACTTAGGGCTATTAGAGGGGAGAGGGAGGGCCGTGAGCAAGGGGTTAAAGAACAACCTGTTGGGTACTATACTTAGTACCTGGGTGGTGAGATCAGTTGTACCCCAAACCTCAGCATCACACAATATGCCCATGTAAGTCTGCACATGTACTCCCTGAATCTAAAATAAAGGTTGAAAAAAAGGCTTCTTTTAAAGTTTGTCAAGATCTCACTCCTCTGCTGCAATATTCCAATGACCTCCAATCCCATGAAGAGTAAAAGTAAAGACCTTTAACCCATTTATGGAGGTTATAATCTGTGTGTGTGTGTGTGTGCGTGTGTGTGTGAAAAATCAGACCTTGGCAATGACCTTGAGCAGTAGGATATAAATAACTCCCACAAGCTTAGTGTTCCAATAATGGAACACTAGGCATAAATAAGTTAAGCTCCCCTGCAAGGTCCTCTCTTGTTCTTCGCTCTGTTTCCCAGGCTGCCACTTTTTTCTCTGGGTTGATAAGTAGCTGCTATGAGTGGTATGTAATTCCGTCGTTCATTTCACTACCAGATCGACAGAATAATCTTCC